CTGAAAATATGATGTAGCCACATGATAGTCAAACAAATTTTTACCCAAATTGGCTGTCAAGCATTCTCAGCAACGCAGATTAATACAAATCAAACCATCAAAACCTTATTTCTATCATCACGAACATTCTTCCCACGTACTGCATTCGTATTTCTATACAATGTGGGTCATTTTCTAACAACTTTTGTATTTTTCCACTTGTTCTTGGTTACAATGCCCTTACTTGTGGTATTTTAATCCATATCCTTTGTGAGGAGGTATTTTCGAAGGAATTACACGCACCGAAAGATGTAAGAACTGACTGCAGATTAGTGTTAAAATTAATGCCCTTTTTTTCAAATCAACAACATATTTCAGCAGATCAGAGGCAGGTTGCTATTACAAACCGGAATGTTTCTCCTAAACGAAATACCAGCACGGATCATTGACTCTAACACCCCTCCCTTGAAGAAGAAACAAATCTTATATAACATCGTTGAAGAGAGAAAGAAGGAACTGGACTAAAATGAAACCATTTTTTCTTCGAAGTTTTCATTTTAACGTGTCATATGAAACTCTCCCAAATTGCACATGGTTTTATTGTTCCATTCATTAAGTTTACCCCAAGAAAATCGACAGCATGATCTAAAACACCTTATTAATTGGATATATCGAATGTCAAACACGGATGTACCACTGTACGTAGACTAAAATATAGATTATTCTTTTGCTGGAATGTTAGGAGAAGGTATGCAAGCCTACTTGAATAATGTTACAATCTGATCTATGGTATGTTATGATACAAAGTATGCTTTGTTTGTGAAATGTAATTTGATAGGACACTCATGACTATATACATGATGCACACTATTTGTTTTTTTCAAATTTGAGTCGTCTTATAAAAGAGTGGGGAGGATGCACATAATGACATGCGTGCGCATGAAATAGTACATAACTGGATCAAAGGGAAATAACTCTTCACAGCGATTTGCCCGAGGGTTTTCCTTGACACGGAAGACAGCGTATGGGACTGATCAGAACAAACCCCGGGCACGAGAAGTGAGTCAAACTTCCATGTGCCCAATCTTTAAGATGTTCTCTTTCACATGCACAGAACTCTGAAACAGAGAAGAGGAAGGGAGATTTGGCAATGAAAGAAAGATGCTGGAGTATGTTCATGAATGACCTCATCAGTTCAAAGAACAATAAAGAGGTGAGAAGCTAGGGACTGAATATCATCATCAGATTTCACTGGAAGGATATTGTCATCCTCGAATTCACTGGAAGGAAATTCTAAACTCAATCGGCTTGTTCATGTTTTATATATATATAGCTTTCTTGCGATCAAGTTTCTCACTCTTTCTTATATCTGTTTCTGGCTTGCCTAAACCTTACGATGAGCATTATTATTTGAAACATTGTTGTTTTGTTTTTTTGTTTTTCTTACACGATAATTTATGAGCAAAATCGTAAAAATTACGTCTACCGTACGGTTACTTGAAATAACGTGGTGTAGTTGCAGATATAAGAATGACATATCTTCAATCTGAAAAATAATCATCACTATTGTTACTGTTCATACCATCCATGCATCAATCGACCCTTTAAGGGGATATTGCCATATTGTATCTTTCGACTGCTGACTAAATTGACTCTGACTCATGCCATTTCAAAACCACTTCCCAACAATAAACGCTTTGGCGAAGTCAGCTATTTTTGCACTGTTTACAATAACCACATCAACAGTCACTTTTCTATCTGGATTACCAAATAATGTTGCGATACGCTACTAGCCAAGTCTTGAGAATTACTAAGTAAATTTTGAGAAATTCCATCTGAACGTTCCATATTCCTTAGAATGCTAAACCAAGGATTAACTCCTTGGCCATACAATTGAATGGCAAAATGGTTTTCCTCCTTGGCTTTTAGTAATGAATTCCTATGATCATGCCATTATATATTATATGCCCATACATGGATATGATGAAGGTGATATCAAGGAGATACCTGCTTGCCTGTACATGTTTCTTACTTTACATGTCAGGACGCAATGGGTTAATCTTGAAGACAGTGGCCTTCGAGCGATATCCTCAGTGATGTCATTAATGCTACGTACCCTGCGGCAGTACAACCAATAGCTCATCTACATCTGGGACTGGCTGCTTTGGCTAAGGAAATGTTTAATCATGGAAAAGGAAAACGTACATGATTGGGTCTACTCATTTAGAGGACAGACTTGTTACCTTCTCTATAACAAAATTAAGAGATGGGTAGTGGCCAAGAGCTGTGATTTTCAACTAGTTTAGCCCTACACAATTAATGATGCTGATATCAAAAGGCACTGAGCTCGACTGCATATGTTTCTCATTTCACATATCAGGACGCAATGGATTAATGCTAAAGGTTGTTGCTTTCGAGCGATGTCCTCAGTAAAGTCATTAATGCTAACGGTCAGTTCCTCTGTGCCATATCGGGAGTGCATGCCCGGCGGCTGTACATGGCACATCTACACTGGGAGTCTGGGACATTGCTGCTTAGGCTTAGGAAATGTTTAATCATGAATAAGGAAAACTTACATGATTAGGTCGTTTCATCAAGGACACACTTATATAATTCTTCCTTCTACATACATGCATGCAACTAAAATGGAGTCAGTGAAAGCGGTCGAACATGATGACAAAATTAATGAAGTGCATCGTAAACAACAAATGTGTTACATAACTTCAATTCTAATAACATTTTAAAATCTTGATTCGGTTTTATTTACATTGAACATTAAATAGATCCAGTTTATATGGTTCAGGAGACTCATGCGATGAACGAAATATCAAAGGATGAACAACTTTTACAGAGCGCATTGGCGTACGTTCTCTCAGCATTGTCAAGTTTTCAGTTATGATCTAAGGTTTTCTCAGAATATAAACGTATTATTTCGGAATTGACTGCTTTGAAATACCGCGATCAGAATAGCTTAAGAACAGGCCTGATAGAGGCTTTTATCTAGTATATCTGTCTAAGCACATTCTTTAATTGTATAACAAATATTTTATTTATAATGTTGACTAAGCCTTTACCAAACTTAAAGTTATTCTTTTTAGTTATGAACTGGAAAGATTATGTGGAATCCTTAAACTTTCACACATCCGCGCAATCTTTTTTTAGAATAAGGATATTTGGACAAAATACTCATTCTCGTACGTTTCTCTCCAATTTTCTATACTATTACCTACATCTTCTGGAACTACTTTCTTGAATGGGCGTCAGTGTACTTGTCACAATTCAGGAATAGTAAAAAGTATTGAGGTAAATTTTGTAAAATTTTCGAGGTAGCAAATTAAAATAACATTATTCCATTTCTTTGTGTTATCTTGTTGCCGTCGTATAACCTCACCTCAATAAATATATGAACATAAAGAGAGGAAACGTATACTGCCAACATATTCATCACAACACGTCACAACATTTGCCCAAAACTCCTTGCTGAAATGGGAAGAAATCCCAGCCCCTGGTCACTATCCAACAATGTTAACATTACTATTTTAGTTTTGGTTGTGCGGCACATACCCCCTTTCTGCATGATGGTTAATTGAGGTACGCGTTAAGTATAAACAGGGTTGTTCAGCCTGCATGGATAAAACTAAGGAAAGAGAAAAAGTAGGAAATTGTGGAATCGGCAGTGGGGACAGAACGGGCTCGGCAAAACATGATGTCAAGCGGAAGTAGTTCATTGTCAACATCGGCATGGTCTATGGCATAATGTGTGGAAAGATGGACGGCTATAATCTACCGCGAATATTTATCTCGTCTATACCTGCATTTCATAGACAGTATGTCTCGTAGAATTCCTCCACACTTCCCAATCAATGAAACATAATGGGAAGAAGACGAAAACAAAGATCGGATTTAAGAATCCTACTGGGTTCTGAATTATTTAAGGAGTAATACATCGTATATCCATGTATTGAAATAATTTGTAATGTATTGTACATTAAATTGTGCATTTGATAATTGCTTTCTATACATAGTCATTAGGGTTCTATTCTATATGCAGAAATTTTAAGGTTATAACTATTTATTTAAATACTTTTGTCTTTTTTTGTTATGTTAAAAAGTAAATTGATGTAAATATATATGAAATGTGAAATATGTGAAATAAAACACCTCGGTAAGAGAACGAGAAAATATTCTATATGCAAGGCTTGTTTTGTTTTATTAAATTTAACCAAACCAGTTCAAAATGCGTTGTTTCAGCCTTTTTTGTATGCTCTGCACCCTACGTCTTGTCAAGGTCCTTTTCCTTTTAACAGGAAGGGGTGCATGGAAACACTTTCTTCCGTCTGCAGTATACCTCTCTCCTTTAATTAGTCGGGCCACATTTTGATGTGAGAAACATTTTTTTTGATTGCATCACTAAAAGCTTCAGATTTGATGCGAGTTATCAAATTTTGATATTTTTTAATTAAAAAAAAGAGAAGCAAATTATGATATTCCCGTATTTCCTTCCTCCCACTCTCTCTCTCTCTCTCTCTCTCTCTCTCTCTCTCTCTTTCTTACATTTGCATAGACGAATATCATTTCATTATATCTTCTTCCCTCTCCTGTACTTTCCCCTGTTCTCCTAATCCTCTCAATAATTGCGTCATAATAATTGTTAATTATCAAATTTCCCTGTTACCTTCTTTCTCTCCTCTCTCTCTCTCTCTCTCTCTCTCTCTTTCTCTCTCTCCACATATACACACACACACAAACACACTCTCTCTCTCTCTACCCCTCTCTCTTTTTCTCTATCTCATTCTCCATTTCTCCAACCCCTCCTCGTCATTTTCGCTCTTTCATTTCAGCTATCGTCCCATCATTACGTTTTTATAATCATTCACTCTCAAACAAATTCTACGTTTGTTCCTGTTCTCCCTAAAAAGGTGTCACAAATCGCATGCTGTTATATAAGTATGTTTTTTGAAAGTTGAATATACATGTAATATACAAAAAAAAGACACTAATAAACTTTTGGGCAGTCATGATTCGTTTTTACCATTAGCATCAATGAGGTAATTACTTATTTGTTTTATTGTAAACAATATTTTACACATGTACAACTTAAATAATATATTTGAATCGAAGGCACTATAGTAATTATCATTAGAGGCACAGTACAATAAAACATTATCATTATTATTTTTCCATCGTCCAAAAAAGTATAATAAATATCCGGTACAACGTATAGTACTTCCCCACTCATGATTTAAAATGCTTCTATGTCTATATAGCCGACTCTCAAGAAGGGTTACAAGTGTAAGGCTATTTAAAAAAAGAAAGAATTAAAATCAAAGAAGCACGATATATAACATAAAGATAAAGAGAGAGAATCAAATTATATTCTATAACAAATGAAATAATCATAGATGCAATTCACATTGAAATTCGTCTGTACATCAGACATATTCTGTAAAGAGTTCATCTACGAATATTTTCTTTTCTTAAGATCTAATACAGCTTTGAGCAGTAATGCATAGTTTCATATATAAAATATTTAGTAAAAATACAGCGATGGATCATTTAAAAGCAAAACGAACTTGCCTTTCATAGAAAAATATACACAAAATATATAATTTTAAAATAGCTTTTCAACGCTTGCGTTTAGAATACAACTCGACGGTTTCGACTGAATATGATGAATACATTGCCTGAAGAAAACAAATGGAAGGGACAATCAACCGATAGAAATAATCTTATAAATGTTTTAGTTATTATGTTAACAGAACTGTGTTTATGATATATCTGTTAATACTCTGCTAAAAAAAAACAGGAACTAAAAATAAGAAGGAACGGAAGTGAGTAGAACGATGTCCAGGTTTTGGCTTGCTTGTTTCTTTTCATTCTCCCGTTAAAAAGACGTATATCCTAAAATGTGGGACATTACGGATGTCACCGATCAGAATTTTTTTATTTTAACCTCGAAAATGAGATTGAAAAAAAAAGTTGTCATGTGGCCATACATAATATACTGTCTGTGAGAATATTAAACGTATGCCATATTCAAATATAATTTCCACGGTAATTATATTAGATTTTCCACATTCGTCAAGTATCACTTTGTCTTGGTTGAATTTCATATTAACCTTCTCTTACAATTAAAATGTGACATTTCTTGGCATCTGTTTGTTACATTTTGGCTGTTCTTGAATGAGAATTGACTCATGTAAATTGCCAATTCTCGAGTCACTATCGTCAAAATCACTCAATAATGTATGAACATGATTTCATACTCGTCTAAATAGAGAGGATCATATATGTTAAGAACGTATCACCAATGTCGATCGTATGATAGGACTTGTGTTAGACTACAGTGGTGAAACATTAGTAGATACTTTCGTCCTCCAGTTATTGAATACAATCAAAGTCATACCACACGTCTTGTTAAAATCACTAACATACACTCGACTTTCTTGCATATACAATTTTTTTTTTATCGAGGGAATTCAAATGCATAGAGTCAAAGGCAAAATACATGTTTTGTTACTGTTTTAAAACAATTACTTGTCGTACAGCCTGTTTTCTCCTCCCGGCCATTTACTTTAGCGAGCAGAAGCTATAGGCACCAACATTTGTATTTGATGATAAAAAAAGGTAGGACGGAGATGATGTGGGGATAACTGAACCAATCAACCGATTTGTTTCGTTAAATAAATGTATTTAAAAAATGAGTAAAATTGGGAAATATGCATATATTTTACACACATATAGTAAACAGGTGAAAAACTATATCTTTAAAAGGCATATAACTTCTTTTATAAAATACACACGTTCCATTTTATAACAAAGATATGGACTCAACGCCACAATGTCTGGCAATAGCAATCACTATTTTGTTTGTAACATAAAACAATCTCTCCCAGAACCCCTTTATAATATCGAATCTCCCCATTTAATACAGGTGTATAGGGAGACTCACGTCATGTGCAAGTAAGGAAGAAGAAAAAAAAAGACCTAATCGCATTTAAATATTGAAAGCAATTCTAGATTGATGTGAAGAATATGGTAATAGAGTGACGAATAGGGGTACTGTACAGTCAGTACCGACGTTACTGAACAACACTTGGTTTCAGCTGGGCTGAAATGCTCACAAAACACAATTATTATTATTGTTATTATTATTATTATTAGTCTGTCTTTATTTATTTTGTACAGCACCAAATAAGCAGAGTCATTGATGAGTTATGTCCTTGTCTTCCCATACCTCTCTATAAACACATCAAGATGTTGGGGGAAATAGAAAGCACACATTGGAAGCGGTAATAATATATCCTTTTCTTTCCTTGTACAAAAGTGACAGAACTGAGGGAGTCCATTTTAATGCTCCTCTGTGAGTTAAATGTCCGCAATGCCTAGGGTGTCCATGTTCTGTCCATGTAATAAGTCCTTGAGCGTATTGAGGAAGGTTCTACCGGCACCCACAGCCTTCTACAACCATATCCTGATAGTTCTTAAGGACGACCTTTTCGTACTCGTCCAGATATAACATGCTGATTGCACTAAGTTCTGTAGGCACGCAACATGCCTTAGGTACTAGTGCTGGGTTGACAGAGTTTACTAACGTTTGTACGATAGCATGGTTGGTGGTATTAAGATGTTCGGCGAGTGGGAAAGGACACTCACCGCGACAATAGTAGGCCTGGTAACCGGCCGGTGCGACGATCCAATCATTCCAATGGACATCACTGAAATCCACATACAATTCATGGCGTCTGCAGTTGGCCTTCAACCGCTTTCCTTTCCTCTTTTTTTGACCTCTACCCGACGACGATGATGATGGCGATCGCTTCGTGCGGCCGTCATCACTGTATGTTACGATCTGAGGTCTCGTCTGAAACCATCTATCTTCTTCCTCGTTTTCGAGTTCTTCGACCTTGCTGGGGTCGGCTTCTCGCGTCACACGAACGTGATGATGGTTAGGGGATGGTCTGCCCCTTGAGTCTATGAGCTCTATCTCTAATCCATGATTCTTCTCTGGCTCTTCAAGCCACACCCTCATTGCAGGGCGTACGTCGAATGACTCCCAACTAGCATTTCGAACGTCGACTAACCGTGTGTCGATCAGCCTTTTAATCGTATCTCGATTTCGTGCAACTGGTTTTAAAATATGATACACGTTTATCCTTTGCATGTAATGAATGGGCTTAAGACTTTCTCTGTCGTGAAGTGCGTGTCGTTTTACGATGTGGTGCTCATCGAGGTCTTTGCGGAACAATCTCAGTTCGGCCGTCGTCATTACTTCCTCCTCAGGCATCGTGGATACGTTGAAGATCACTTTGTGTCTGTGGTGCTCTGTGGATACAACTTGGCCAGCGTCTGTGTGAAGAATAAAAAGAAAGGGCACATTTTAAAATAAACAAATGATAAACCAATCAATGAAACAAGCATCATTTTCAAGTACTGTAAATAAAAAAATACTATACATATTGAGGACATTGATTATGATTCACAAAGGGTAAGGTACGATGATGAAAGGTGCTTCCACTTTGTCAAGTTTACTGGTCACTCACGGTAGAGTCCATACTGCAAGACTCACGCCGGTCTTCGGAAACTTAATTATACTTGAACCAAATTGTCAAATTGAGGACGTCTTAGTCGTAAGAAAGACTGAAGCCTATGAACTTAGTGCATGGAGCCAGTGAGTCAATTGGGAGATTAGGAGGCATCATAAACTATTTACTAGAATGGGAAGTATCTGCGGGCCAGCCTGAAGTGAGCTGGCACAACATATTATTTAGCGGGTGGGACTGACGTGCCAACACACCTGACGTCCTATAAACCCCGGCTAGGCTACCGTGGTTGTGGTGACAGTGAGCTAGCAACAATGAATACAATTATTCATAATATTCAATGTAGTACAACACTATGAATTTCTCGTATTATGTCTTCGTGCTATATGCCTCATCTTCCTTACCAGATTTAAGAGCATTAACAAAAAATATACATTTTAATTGCTCCTGCTTTTTCAAGAATTTATGTATAACGTTCATGAAGATGTCATATGATATCGGGCCATCTTGTAAAACACCCTAGCGACGTGGAAGGAAAGACAAACAGGTTGATGGTGTAATTTTGGGTACACAGTGCATTATGGGCTCTTTCTTACACCCATTTTCATTTCTAAATGAGAACAAAATCGAAATCGTTCCTGCTTGAATGCAAATATTTAAAAGAGAATTGGTACTGAATGTGTCTCATAGTCTTCGTGGACACTTACAATAACTGAGGAAAAATTGTGTTTGATGAGGTTAAGTGTCGCTTATAAGAAGTATTTTTGAACCGACTAAAAGTGTAACGGTGTTTCTAGCAGAGACGATGAATCAATTAATGTCAACCATTCGGAAACACATATGGTTTCTTGTCCTATCTTGTCCTGTCGTTGCATCACCGAGTGATAGATATCGCAATCCGCGGATAGATATATTAATATTTTCCTCTGAAGCAGAAACAGGATGACTGCCTTTCCCTGGTGGATAAGTTCAACCTCATAATCCAAGTATGAAGCTTCTTGCAGAGGGAGAGAGAGAAATAGAGAGAGAGAGAGAGAGAGAAAAAAAAAGAGAGATTCAACATGAAGTTCTATGCCAATGGGGGAAACAGGATGGGTATGATTCTCTGTGCCAAGACCGGGTACCAACCAAGTCAGGACAATTTAAAAACAATTTCCCCTCATTTCTCGTTCGCTTGCACCCTAGTGACATTTTAGTTTAATCCTCTTCGGCATTTCGGGAGAAGCCATATAAAGATCCAAAAAGGAATTCAGATTTGGCGGGGTAGATTATCTTTATTTAAAGGAGCCCATGCAGGCCTGCTGTGACACTGCACAACTGATAATAAAGTACTCCCAGCGTCTGATTGGTAATCTCTTCCTTGAAAATGATAATAGAAATTACAGTTCTTTTTAATGATGTCTTTGTTGTTGCATTTTTTCTTCTATGATCGTAAGTCACACAGAATTGCGCATATTTGTCTGAATTTTATAAATGTCTACATTTTACTTTTTTGTGCTCAGTATATCCATAGAATTAACGATGGCGAAAGGCGTATTTTATGTTAATTTGTATCTTTGACCTTGAAAACACCGTTTATACTAACTTATAAACACACATTTATTCATCATAAAGACATGTGTCATAGTTGTGGAAACAAAATCAATCAAACATCACATCTGCAATTTTGCTCGAACCCTTGAAGAAATCAAAGAAATATAAACATACTAAGTTTATATTATGTACTAACACACTACACCTTATCAAAAAGAGTTTATATGGCTTCCTTAGTAAAAAAATTATTATCGATAAAATGTATGATGTTGGGATCTTTTAAAGGAGTTTCCGAAATACTAATCCACGCTCAAGTAAATGTTATTGCATGGAAAAAAACGATAATGATTCTGTTTCTGGTCAGTCAAAACAGCGTCAATCGTATCAACATAGATTCCAAATAATTATCTTCTATTTCCCTTCTATAGGGACAGGATGCTTGTATTTTGTCCCTCGACAATTCTACTCATTTCAAGAGGCCAGTCTTTAAGATCTGAAGATGTATCTAGTCAGATTTCCTTGCGTTTCCGGGCTCAGTACACATCCCTGTCTGACAGTGCTCGAGCAAGCTTGCGGCTTCAGATTTAGAGACTGGGACTGGGAGCTAGCCGCGGGGAGGGGGAAAGGCAACCATTGAGAAAGGATATGGCTTGCTTGTCTGCGCTCATTTCCCGCTCAATTGGCTGGGTTGAGACTAAATTTCGCCTGCCACGAACTGTCGCCCCACCCATGCCCCTTGCGAGTCGTCAGTCGTCGCTAAAGTTCTGGGCACTGCCCCGCCCAGCAACTGGAAGCCGCTTTAGCCCCATGTCATCCGATCTAATTTCTTTGCCCCTCCATGAAACGAAGAAGCCATGCTAAGAGTTCATATCAACTTAGCTCTTTACTACTTAATTTATGAGGAGAAAACTAGGTCACGAAATGCTTAATTTTAGATAGATTAAATTATCTCACAAATCGGTATAAGGGTATATGAAATGCTTTGAATGTTGTCTAACGCTCTGAAATAAGCGTCCTCAGAGGAGGATGCTGTTTTGCAGTGACGAATGACACAACAACATTCGCAATATCATTTCAACTTAATACCTGACAAATCAACTTTACATAATCCAAATCGAAAACAGGATAGATAACTGATTGTTAAATGCAAGTTTTTAAAATATTTATACCAAGTTCCTAGGATTTTGTTCAATATTACTGCATTATGATGCGAATAATACGTTATGAATAAAGAAGGCTTGATTTCGAGAGAAGATTAAAAAGTTTATTAAGTATGAGTGGAGATAAAAAGAGAGTATGTAAGTCGGTACACTAATCATCGCATTGAAGAACGTGGGGTTATGAATCGAACCACATAGTGACAAGAAACCCCTCCCTCTAACACTATTAGACTGTCTCTTCACACAAGATTGTCATTTCTTTCACAGCTTGTCAAGTTTCAAACCAACCTGGTACACACCGATGAGATATGGCTCTCTTAGAAAGTTAAACCTTGGCGGGAGGATGTATTCCTCGACGAGGTTAAACTTAAATTGTGCTGCTGTGCAAAACTTGAATGGTGCTACTGTGTAAAATACAAGGCAGAATATGTCGCGCTTTTTATCTATTCGACAACACAAACATACACAATTGTGATCCATTAGAACAACCATGCACCACAATTTTGTTTAATCAGGAAAAAAGTGTAATTTATGACAACTTATAATTTATCAGAACAATATTCCTTCAAAGAAGAGGGCTGCAATAGGATAAAATATTCATTTCCTTGTCATGGACTATTATGATTATTCGCAAATGTACCATTTAATACCTCCAACATTCATTCGTCATCGTTCAACTTTGTAAGCTAAATTGTCCTTCAATTACCGGAACCTAAGTTTAAAAGAAAATATATAGTTTACTCAAACAAATGTCGAATATTAGTTCCCTTATACATGGAAGGTTATTTCTTCGACGTTTAGTCGTTAAATTCTGAAGAAAATTTCAAAGGCAAGCTAAAAGTACCGAGAGCAGGACCGTCTATTTTTTTTTTTTTTTTTTTTGGGGGGGGGGAGACATGTAAGAAAAGCTATTGCTCTTGTAAGGTTAAAATACAGCAAAAACAAAATCAAATATCATGATAAGGAATGTTTCTTTCTTTCACATACTCAAATGTTTTCACTAAGCGGTATCTTAATAGTCTAGAGATCAAGTAAAAAAAAAGTTTTAAAAAATCATGCTGGATTATGTTGGATTTATAAGTGAGTGTAGAAGTGAGTTAATCTCATTATATTGTATCAAAATAGCAGTTTAAATAAAGATTGGAAAGTTAGTGCATTTGGTTTTCAAAATAATAGTGTAAAGACAAAATTTGATGCGTTTCGGTAGCTAGAATAAGTCAGACAATACACATAACTAATGGATATGGGAAAAATTCGGGATTTCCCTGGGCAGAGCGTAAGGATATTGTTCCAAAAATAAGAGCACAGTATCTTCTGAATCTTGAAAAGTTTAACGATCGCTCCTGACCCCTCAGACCATTGCAGACAGGTAAGTATTTGAGAATACTGCACGAATATTCCAATCGAAGACAAAGTATGATTCTGTATGAAAGTAAGTCGATTCATTTGTGAATGATTGATTCTATATATGGTAAATAAAATTACCATTGTTTCAGAATTAGGGTATAAATTTGTGGTAATTCAAGTAAATGCATAAAGTGCTCGAGGGTACGTTATAGGGGTTGATCATACTATATTCACAGATAATCCACAACGTCAAAGCATTTCGAAACCGAAGAATACAAATCTACCCCAATTTTTGTCCTCTGCAAGGAGACCTAACTCCTAAGACAGAAAATTAACTGATCACCATGCAGATACTCATGTGATGTAAAATAGAATCAATAACGATAAACAACCAATAACTCTTGGGAGAGCAAAATTATTACTGCTATCAAATGATTCTACATGTCTCATGAATACATTTCAAAGAGAAATGCTCACAGCAATAACCTTAGACAGTCAAGTAAAATATAAATTGTTACAATGCAGTTTAAATTTCAAAATATATATGTTAATACACCACCGATACGTGATTGTATGCTACTATTTATAAACCCTTCCCCAAAGTTCGTGAATATTACACAAGAACATTGTAGGATGAGCAATTCTACGCCAAGCTATATTACAAACAATCGAGTTCGACGTTTACACGTCATTCAAAATCTATAATCTTTAGGATAACACCGATGATGGTAATTACCATCAATGCATAATATTAAAGCCAGTGGTACATACGCATAGGCCAACATGGGCGGCAACTGCTTCTTCTTTTCTTATTTTCAAGAGGAGCGCAATTCGAAAGAATCTCTTACAAGCACGCATGCATTAAAAAAAGTAAAAACTTAAATTAGAAAGATTTTTCTGGTATTTTGACAGATCGTAGTGAGACGACCCTCCCCCCCCCCCCCACTTCCGCTCTGCAATATAGGTCTATATATGGGATATAGCAGAAAAACAAACAAGAACGAAAAATCTTTCCATTGCACAACTGGTATAGTTCCCAGAACATGAGCTCATTAATTCACACCCGACTCGGGCTTAGAGATGTATTCAGCAATAATTTCATGATTCGGAGTCGTTCAGGTGTAAGAATTTTGAAGGGTTTCGGATTAAAAGGTTGATAATCAAGGTAGTTTCTTGACCTGTGTTTTGAACTTTCTTAATTACATACCCACCGATGGGAAGGTATCAACTTTTAGTGGATGAACGTAATCAAGTATTTAGGTGAAGTATATGAAAAGCATATTCAAGTTTAGCCATTTTTCCCAACGAAGTATGGCAATGCATCTTTGTGTTACGGAAAGGGGTAGTTATGCACGTTAGATTACTTTAATTTTCTTTTACTATTCTTTTTTTGTTTATGTTTTTTAACGATATAATTGAAATCAACTGATCATACTTAACAGTTACCCGTCTCCATCATTATGGTCCGTTTACTTATAAATTTATTTCTTCTGTGAGTGGTTGAGTTTTTAAAAGAAATTGTGAATCTGTATCTCCTACTGGACCAAACATAATATACATTTTAACAACTTCTAAATGGACGGGGTTCTTCAACGACTTTTCCGAATAAGGTACAATTTGAATGTTGATGAATACTAACCTTGATGATGATAACTCCTGATGGTATTAGCTGTACCCGTAGATACGTGTTTGAAGTCAAAGAGCATATTGATTCCATCTTCAGCCTCTGTATGTGACCGGTATAAGTCCATCATATATTGAGGTACTCTCAATTTTCCCTGCGGTCTCGGTCTCTCTTTCAATCCAAACATCCCCAAAAGCGTCGATTCGAACGCCTCGATGACCTGCGCTTTCCTATTCTGGTCGCCCTCGTTCTGACTACTCCGTTCTGACGACGACGACGACGATGTGGTGGACGATGTTGAACCGGGCCAGCCGCCGACCACGACACAGCAGCATACAAGGGGCACCACCAACTGACCCCAATGTGAAGTGGTAACCATGATGGGTCTGAAAGAAAAAGAAGACACCGGTGATGTAGAATTGTTTAAACTGTCAAGACAACTATATCGACCCCGTGACTTCAGTCTTCACATTTATCGATTAATATTGCTAAGATTGGTTTAATTCATTTTTTTCAAAAATACAAAATGGCACCGCTGGACATGGTGAATATACAACTTCATTTAAATGAGGTATTCGTTGATGTACTCCACCGGTATAAATCCAGGTTCAATTGAATATTTCATATCCATGGCAACTCATCAAACGAACACATTTACATGGGATCATAGCCTTCCTCGTCGAAAATGGTAGGCCATTTTAACGTATCCACTATGACCTGCAAGGTCACTGAAGACAAGAAATATGGAATAATTTGAAAGAAACACATATCAGAATATTCGCACGCATGCGCTAGTTAGAGTGCGAGCAAGATCATCAACTCACGAGATTAGACAACGTGAATTTGCCAGTTGCTCTTCTGTCTTCACACAGAAAATGTCGGATGGAAGAAACCTTAATCTGTTAATTCTCACAATTAATAACAGTTAAGCATTTCAGCATAAACATGTAAGTCCTATGAATTGGCTCTTCACGTACTTTGTCCTTAAATCCAATATCAAGTCCATCCTGTACATGGCTGTAGTGAATTTTCATATGAAGGCATAATTTGTCCGTGTGCTCTGGATGACATTCAACCAACATAATGACCACATGGCCAGAATTACCCTCGTCCCTGCCTGTCAAAGAATGGTTTTAAAACCCAGATCAGAAGGGACTGTATGTGGATTTTATTCATTACGAACCACATTTCCTAATTGGACCCCTCTCGACTCATCCCGGTCGATAATGGGAACCTTTTCTTATAGTGCTTGATTTCTAACTCCATTTTTTACTTGAGGTGTTAGGGGTATTATCCCTAGAAGAAAGCCACCTCGCACCGTGATGCTGAATGGCTAATTATTCTGGACAGAGCGAGAGAATACGGAGGAGAAGAAAAGGGTGTTGTAAGGGCGGATTAGTCTTTAACACCGAGAAGGGAAAAGAAAACAAGGGTTGGAATGTGCGAAAAGATCCAAACCCGAAGACCAGATAGCAGAGGTTCATAGTACATTTTAACCCTTCTTCACAATCATCCTTGCCCCCTCTCTACTACGGACAGGAAGTTTTTGAAGGTTTAACGCGCGCGCTTCTAGAATAGGAAGAAGATTATGGCAACCTCTTCATTGTGTTATTAATTGACCTTTTGAGATGTACAAGTCAACAAATGACCATTGGCACATCGGTTTACACAAAGATTATGAGTAAAGAAATAATAGGACGTACTTTGGGCTGTAGTATAAATAGCCGACAATCTACAGTTCTATAACAGCCTTGTTAGACATTTTTAAGTCGTGCTTTTGTCAGTGCTCTCAAGTTTGCCAAACTGTTGACATGGTTCAATGCCAATTTCCCTTCAAATTGTGCCCTGCTTTTCAATTCTGTTAAAGATTTAATATTTTTAAAGTATTTAACGGGTAAACTCATGGTACTGTCGATCTTGAAAAGTCATGGGCTTAAATTCTTGAACAATTGCATCATGAACTGATGATGACATTCCGTTGGATGTATTGCCAATTTAAGATGCCAGGTGTTTACAGATCTTGGAGTTAGATTTCCTGTGACGAGGGATCGTACATCCGTGTAATCTAAGGTAGATGAGAAGATTCCACATATCAAATGACGTCACGATAGCAAAAATATGGTTCGCGGAAAAGAATAATGGGATGTGTTGGGCTTTTCTCGTATTAAAGTAGATACAGTTGAAATAACAAATTTAAAGACAACTTTGTGGGGGATTAAGTGAAACTAATGATACAGAAATTCGCTGATGATTAAATTAATCAGGTAAATCGTTGTAGCTGGAAAGTAGGTCGACAGATGGGGTGCAAACGATTACTTGATAACGATATTTCCCTTTTATAACAATATCGAAAAATGCTTTTTATGTGGTACATTTCTAAAAATTTATATCAGTTGTGTTTTTTAAAGAGAGAAAAAGATTCATATGATTTACTAAGGTGAGGACACCATAGTTATTATGTTGTGTTGATGGTACCACTTGGATCTAGGTAAGTGACGCGAAAACATGCTACGCAACAGTGAGATCGAATACTCGACAGGATATAGCTGAGCTCTTTAAGCACGGGCGATCAGTTTTCCTTTTTGCTTTTTCTTGTAATTCTGGTAAAGAAGGGAATTGATAGAAAGTCCCTCCGGCCGTCACGGTTAATCTCTTCTTTTGTTGATACCTCGTAAATAAGAGTTTGAAAGTTGTTTCCCCTCCGTTCCTTTTCACCCTTCTTTTCTCTTTCTGCCTTATGGGCCGTGTTGCTTGACGGTGTGTTAAGCTGACTGCTAGGTTATTCTAGGGCGGTCTTATACGGGTTAGGATTTAAAATGGCGGTGCATTGTGGATAACTGGTGCATAACTCTCAACTATCTGGTATGAACATGTCATCTTTTTCGTACGCGATCGACCGAGAAAAAGATTGAGAAAATGAGAAAGAATTTGCGTCAACAGTTTCATAGCGTGTTCCAATACTTCCTTCCGTTGTTAAAGTCAACAAATAAGACATCTTCATTTCGAATGGCAAACAATGGAACTGGAGGAAAAGATGAGGAGAATAGATAGGAAGATATGGAGAGAGATCGATAAAGAAAATTGGGAAAAGGATAGCAAATTTAGAGGAGTATTTTCTTAGATAATGATAGGAAAGTAAAGCTTTAATACATAGGAAACAACAAACCAATTTAAGATGTCTCTTATTGTGTTTCAGAGGAAACGCAAACTAATGACCACTCCTAAGGACGATAGACAAAGACAACATTTTTGTGAGCAGAGCAAACGACGTAATAGTCCAACATCATTGTAAATAAATATATCCTATATCATCAACAGCAACCCACTGTCTCTTATTTCTCTGTGCAGATCACTGTTTTGGCAACCTGCGTACTGCCGCAAAAATATCAACTACTAAATTAAAATAATTTCTGCTTTGAGGGGCGGCTGGAGGGATGATAAATTACATATATACCAAATCATACAATATCTGCGTACTTTCATCACCAATGTCCTTTACTTGCAATTTTGATCATGGGTATGTCTATTTTTCAAGAAAAAAAAAACATGCATACATTTCCACACCTCACACTTTTTGTCAGTGAGGAAGGTAGCAATTTAATAAAATATAATTTTTGCTTTTTCCCTTGTAAATTAATAAATGGACCGATATGACGTCAGTAAATTTACGATATTTCAGACATCCGAAACAGGTGACTGAAAAACAAAAACAATATCCTGTATCAAGCAGAGCATACATCCATGACAACACAATCTATCCAAATGTGAGAGAAAGTGTTTAGATAAACAACCATTTATTTACTGCCACCTTATGTACAAATTAGTTATCTTAGATAGTTTAATGACAAAGATAATTTCCATATTATAAACACATTATAAATAGACGTCCAGCTCTGCGTAATATCACGGTTACTATTTTGAAAGCAGGCTTATTCCTTTATTACACTGCATGGAGGAAAACATGGTTTGTAAAGTAATGTAAAACAACATTGTTCATCTTGAGCTTTTTCTCTCTCTTAAGGATAATAATAAGAAATTCTTAACTAATACTTTGTCCAGCGGAATGAGGGAATACTTGCACTACATTTCATTTCCAATAACTCTATGGCAGCTAGTCTCGATTAAGTAGGACTCTCTGCTCGCTCTCATCCATCTAAAGTTTGTCAAAGGACATAAACAGAACACGATCTGCGAGGGCCGAAATTGTCTTGCCTCTATATTTTTCTTGAACTGCCTGATTCTGCTCCAAGTTTCTGTTTGGTCTCGAGGGGAAGCACGGAACGCTATTAAGATAAACAAGGCATAAACTGATGCCAGCCACGCCGAAGGCAACAAATAATTTAATATTTCATACGTTCCATTAAAGTGTAATAACTTTTAAATCTACCTGTTTTGGCATGGTTGTTATTCTTCTGATGGAGAACTCCCCAAAGTTGGGGGATCTTTGAAGATGAAGCTGAAGGTGCTAATAAAAGAAATGGAAGTCAGGTGTGCATACCGACCGGTCCACTAGCATCACGTCTCACCTGACATGTAAGTGGACTCCAAAGAAACTCATTCTCTCCTCCTCCTCCTCCTTTCTTCTCATCATCTTGGTTAGTAAGATGGAAAGGAATAAATCTTCGGCGGTGGTTCGACCTCCGGGTCAACAGGTAAAACATGGAGGGCGGTATAAAGACAGGGAGCGGGTGGCGCTTCCCGTCAAATGATTTGATGGACTATCAGAAAACAACTTTTAGGAATATGTTATATGTTACATATAACAGGCCGTATGTGAATTGAGCAAAAGAAGTGAAAAAGAAGAATATAAATACACAGAGACAAGTTGAATTGGTAAGGGATATACTAGTATGTAGCAATGTAAATATCCAGTGACAAAAAGTAAAAAATTATGGTCACATTGATTATTGGCACATTATTCTTTAAATAAATAATTACCTTCAGTGATAATATTCATATTGCATTTCTAGATCTGACACGTATGGACAACAACATTTTTGCGTTTTTTTTTAACCAGGAAAAGCATATTGGTAAGAGAAAACATAGTACTGTAAAGAAGATAGTATGCTCCAAATCGATTTAAACTTATTAAACAAAACTACACTTAAATCTTGATTTGTGTAAAGTCTATATACATGTAAAAAACTTTCAGACTGTCAACCAATTCAAAACTTGTCTTGGGACATATTTATTCAAAATTGCTTTTGATGATTAACTTACTCTGTTCACATTGATGTATAGTTGTATTGTAATTTGTAGGTATATTTGTAATTTTGTGTTTTGTTTAATATGTAATTGTTTATCATTGTATTTTGTTTGTTATAGCGCTAGAGACGTCGGTGGTAAGCGCTTTATAAGCACCGTTTTTATTATTATATTATTATTATTTATAATGAAATGGAATGACAAAAGTGGTGTGTAAAATATGGAACAAGTGCCAAAACTACAAATTCTTGATAAACATATCCACATTAGTTAAATAATGAGAATGGTTTTATTTTTGCTCGAGATAATGGAATATTGGTGCAATGAAGCGGGACTGCTGCGTTATCATACAGTTCATTTTATGTCGGGTATAATTGTAAACCATATTATTAAGAGCTATGAAGTCGTGCCAGGATCAAGGCTAGATAATACGCGGGAGGGATTCTTGATGATAAGAGTACTAAATCTATCGATAGCATACACCGTACCCTTACCATTTTCGGAATCTTATCAAAGGAATTTTTATATCAACGCAATTTGAAATTGGTCATAAAAATAGCAATCATTTTGCGCTACTCGTATTACCCTGTATGATAGGCCTGTATATGGCCCGTGTTATAGACGTGAATTTGATATGTGGGGCAGTTGCGTTAGGGAGGAGTGAATAGGGGTAATAAAAGACCCCCCTTTTGTTTTGTAATTGACAAGTCTGGTAGATGAAAGCAAGCCGTTGGAGACACGCAGTCTAGCCTGCCTACTGTTTCCCCCCGTAGCTAGACGTGTGTTACAAACTATGCGTTAGGTTATTTTTTCTTCTGTATCTCAGCACCAAACTTGAATTGACTAGGCCTTTAGTCCCGGCCATTCATTGTGATGTAATATAATGCCCGGGACACTGTAAGTAACTGTAACGTGATAGAAGAAAAAAATCCCATTCGCCACCTGTGGTTGAATGTGCTCAGTGGACGATGTAATCACGGAGTTGAGAGGACAGTAGCCCCATTGTCATGGTCAATGGCTTCGGGGTGTTACTGGACTAAAAGCCCCCTTCCCACCCGAGTCCCGAAGAATTGCAATTAACGCTTACGCTTTGCAAGTACTATTGTGTTTCAAGAGAGCTTTACTGGATAAGACAAAACAAATTCTGCTAGTCTATATCGTCTTAATATGAATTCGATATGTAGTACTATATTTTTTTTTCTCGGCCAAAATAAAATATGTTCTCTGTAAGAAAAAAAGGGAAATGAGATTTTGAAGCCAAGAAACGTTAATGCAACCAACATGTTGATTCAGTTCCCATAAGAAGTTCCCAGTGTGCTGTATCAAGAGTTAGCAACATGCTAGAATGAGTCATACAAATTCCCTATAATAACCCCGACTGAACATTTTCTGAGCAATTCAAAAACGATGCTTTTAAACCGGTGTTTTTCCTATCAACAAAACTTGAGCTCGTCAATGACTGGACGATTTCAACAGCTCTGAATTCAACCAACGCGATTTATCGGGCTCGGAAAGTGAAGAAGGCGCGGAGACGAAAATTTCGTGTGTAGTGTTACCAATTTACATTTTCTGCGTTCAACACCTCCGTAGTTTAAGCACCACCGGTACTACCTCTACACCTGGGGGAAAGTCCTTGCTGAGTTTTTATAGCGAATCACAAATCCCCAGATGATACAGGCAAAAAAGAGACGAAAAAAGCCCCTCTCGACTTTTAATTGTAACCGAGTGAAATCGAATACCCAGGTATTTTTGTGAGGGAGTCCGTTGGCACTCAGGTGCGCCATCCATGCACCTGACACACTTTTTCCCCTTTCCTCAACTCTCACGCCATACCAGGCATCACCGGCGTTGTTTTTCCATCTTCCAGCGAGCACACACGAACCCCCATTTGGTAGTATACATAAACCATCGCATTTCGCAGGTGGGGACGACAGCTAGGCGGCAATCAGACTCTTTATTCCTCGGTAAGTCTGCCGATGATTTACATTGACCCCTAGATGTCAGTGAAATTGGGTTTTTGCCCGGACATTTTATTCCCTATGAACTCATCCATCCCCGCGCCCCTCCCCCCCCCCCCCCCACAATTTCATAAGCCACACTCACGCACCGCTCCGGTCGGGTCGACCCAGGTTTGACAAATAACGTTTTCGATGAAACGTTTATTTGAGTAGGGAGATGCTTCTCCAAACTCTGCCCCGATTTTCAGCATCCATCTCTCTCCTCTTTTGCCCGCTTGTCACTCATCTCCTCCCCGTCCCGACGATGGTTGCCGACCAAGATGGTAGGAGGAGAGAGGGAGAGAGACAGACCTTTATTTCCTACTCCAATACAAGCACACCTGCCTGTTTGAAGGAATGCCGACATTTTCCCCTCTCCCCCTCGAATTGGAGATGATCTATTTATTTGTTCATCCATCGGAATTTCTGCCCCCCTCTCTTTGCCTAAATCTCCCTCACTCGGAGACTTATCCGGGGACTTTTGGTTTGATCCCGGGTAATACACCTGCCGAATAGATACATATTGTGGGCAAAATACCTGCTCTACAAATCTCAACCGGTATGAGAACATCTTTACACCTGTAGTATCGGGTTTGCTTGCAGTATCTTATCGGAATTACCCCTCCATATTGTCAAAACTCAATTATCGTTTATTGCTTGAAACAAAAATATGGAAAACAGGGAGAAAAACAGGATCATATGGGATACGTATAATCTTAAAATACAGTGCGAATCTGTGAACGGCAAATCCAGACAATCACAATAAAGCTCCCTGTCTGGTCTAAGCGCATATTCAATGGGTAAGATGGAATAGCGCTATTAGCCAGTCTGTGCCAGCTTTTCAGCACTGATTGAGGCTCGTAAAAAGAGCGAAGAAAAAAACTGACGGGTGGAAAAGGGTGTCCAGTAAATCTGTTACAATGGGTCACAATTGCCAGCTTGTAGAGTGTGTTAAAACGCGAGATGAGTAAGATTTTTTGATTGCTGGAGAGGAAATGAACTCATAGATTACCGGGCTCTCGGTCCGTCGTCTGCCAGCTCCTGAGTTGCGGCTGGAGCAGGCTTTGCCTATGTACAATGACTGAGATGGACATGCTCTACCTCAACCCCCCCCCCTTCACTATTTAATTTTCCCGCAACAATCACCCCGGTGATGAGTGTTAGAATGGTACAGCTGTTTCATGTTGTAAGCCTCCATTATTAAACCACGTCTGCGTACCTTCTAATATCATCATTATTCATACAAATTCCAGCTACAACAATTCAATGGTGACACTGCCTCATTTCCGTACAAGTTACACAAGTTGCGACATGAAATTCGCAAATAAACCATACACTATATCAAGAACATTAATTTTGAAATAAACCTGTAATAACCGGAGAATAAGTCCCTACTTCCAACTAAATCGAATTACTGATTCATGCTGAACTTTCATTCCAGTCTGAACAAGTCATGGAAATGCAATAAGTACTTTACATGATAAATCACTGAAAAGAGTGCGCGTCATATTTTCGAAGCCGGAGATTCTCAGTCAGCATCCGAAAAGGAAATGAAATAAATTCAGTAGAATTATTATTCACACCAGGGTATCCAGGATAATGTACAGATGAAGACCTTTCTCTGGCTTCTAACTCAATCTGATAAGAGAATGCATACACGTCAATACAACAATAATACTTGCATTGGTTTAATAAAACAGTTAACGAACAACAAAACAAGTTTGCTTACCGTGGTGCGAATAAAATGATAGTCCAAAAGTGGGATAAGGTCTCCAATATTATATTGGTATGACAGTGTGTTTATGGTAACTTCGCAAGGAGTTTTCACAGGTTCCAGTAGCACTGTCAGTCCCCCAGAACGGGGGCGATGGTCGAAGGTACAGTGGTCTGTTTAGTATCGGGAGTAAAATCCAAGCTATAAGTCCGTATGTGGCTTGAGAAGAACTGGCATTGGACGATGTTTGGTTCAACCAAATAATTATGAGCGCACGGGCGACCCTGTCTGTTAGCCTTGCTTTATGACGATGTTGATGATGATGATGATTATGATGAGAGTCACAGGTAAGCCCAGGTGTAACAGTCAATTAACCGCAGGCATGCGCCACAGGCCGACCTTAAATACACACTCCCACGAGCAAAACGATGTACACATGCCAATCAAACAACTTCAAATGTTTTCCACGTCCTACCTGCGTCCATAAACGTTCGGTAGGCGGAGAGTTACAGTAGATAGTAAAAATAGTGAAACAAACGTTTTTTGACAACTTTTCTTGTCGTGTAGGGCAAGGTAAGTGACTAGCCCTGGTGACGTTAGCAGAGACCTTTGATGTATAGTGAGCGAAGCGATGCACCTACATGGCCAGTCTTCATCCATGTGCATTCAACCTACCTCTCTCGACGTAGAGAGAAAGTAGTAAGATTTGACACAATTCGCGGGGGCCTTTGGGCCAGGCTGAGGTATTAGAATGAAGAGAAGAATCAGCAATGCTACTACAATTTCCGAGTTCTCACGCTGCTCATAGAGAAGAGAGTAGAAGGAAGGGGAGGGAATGCCCCCCGTTTTAGAGCCATCCTCATGTCATTCAAGCCCGCTTAGAATCAACATCAGACCAATGTATGTCTGCTCTCGACAAGACCCATGTGCGTATCATTCAAGGAGATATCAACCATGCCAGGCCAAGTCGGAAATATTAGCCAACACAGAACCCTTTAGTCCGTCGACTGACAATTCTTCTTGAGAATCGACTATAAGATCGAAAAGTGAAACTGTCCTTTACTTCGTCAACTCCTGTCAGCTGTCAGACGGACGAAAACTGTCAAAATTACGCGCTTCCCGTGTCTTCGAACAATCGTTAACCTCAAGTCATTCAAGAAATTAAATTTTCTTTAAAATACACAAAGACTGGAACTTAAGATTGCAAGATCAAGGTCGTTCCAAAATCACATCACCGAACGAAAGAAACAAATCAGCGGGTTGCGAATAAATTGGACAAAATCAATCACAATGTTTGGACAAATATATAGTTGATCCAAGTTTGAATCGTCAATGGTTGAGAACTGTACAGATTAAAACCTGCCTGGCTAGATATATATTGTTTCGCGGCCTTACACGCTCACTGAATATTCTGCCTTTTGATACATTTCAACTCCCGAGCTGGAAGCCAGCATAGAAAACTAGTGGGTTAGATGCGAGAAAAGTAGTCAGGTGAAAAAAGTTAGGGACGAAGCTCCGCCTACTTGGTGCTCTGTGATTGGTTGATTGTGTAGTGGCTACGTCACTTTTTTTTGCGGTTCAGCGGGTAGTTCCGTCAATAGTCATCGCCATATAACTATCTCCCTGTGTACTTTTACTAATGGATAATACAAACACACGGGAGTTGCGTGCTGTGCGGTGACATGCCGCAACTCTTTTATGTGACAACCTCGCTCGCAGGAGAACAGTAAAAACCGAGTTATGTCTTTACCCGGCTAGGTCGCAAGTCCTTTTGAATCTCTTATCTTTAAAATTCAGTTGTCTTCAAGATCCTCCTACCAAATACCTGTGCACCTTCTTCCCCAAGATGTAGACTGACCCCTTCGACAGACTTCACTCAAATTGGAACGTGGGAACATGGAACAGTAGAATCGGATGCAATGAGAAGTTAATCACCGTCGGAGCACATCAGGGGGGCATCCGTCTACCCGTTTCATCTGAGTATAGAGGTACATGGTTAAAACATGTTTCAATCAAACACACATTTTCTACATATGGCCTGAAAATCAGCGATTGGCACTTATATGAAACGTCACTTGGTTGAGATTGACTACCATTTTGACCAAAAAATAAATAAATAATTGTTTATATGTCATAGGTCCCAAATCAAGTTTGCATGCATGAAAAATATAATTTATGCATGTGGGCGTATAAAAAGTTTTCCCTACATCTAAAAAAATCAACAGCAACACGGCTACAGTATTCATTATTATTGGTAGACAAGGCTGACGTAAAATTACGCAAGACAATGTTGAACTTACAATATCGTAACCTTCTAGAATATCATACAATTTATCCCCCCCCCCTAAAAAAAGGTGGGGGCGTTAATGTGAATTTAGTAATGAAATAAGCGAAGGTTGCTTTTGACACCAAATAATGGTCGAACGGAGTAAAACTGAAATATCATCATTGAGATTAACGTATTGTTTTATAAAGTACCATGAATTCTTAGAGATATATTTAGCAAACTTAGTGATACGATCATCAACATTTAATTATTTCGTCTCCTTTTTACTAAATGAAAAAGTAAAAATAAAGTTATAGTAGCCTTTATAATCATTATTTTGTCAACATGGAATGATTTCAATATCATTCAGGTTTTGTTTTTGTAATAATTAAAACATAAACAATATTAAATAGTATTGTCACATTCTACATGTGTGAATACAACGATGTTCCATAATGTAAAAATATATATACTAACTAGATTCAAATTAATAGTACAGAAATCCCCATACGTCATTCTTCAAATGGGGCTTTATGCCATAGGTCCCCTTGTTTTTAGAAAGCACTTGCTTTCTCACAAATTCAAAGAAAGTAAACAATAACAGCCAACCAACATCTACAATCTTCTTCCTATTATTTGCTATAAATATCTTCTCTTTTCCAACCCCCTCTCTCTGTCTGCCTGTCTCTGTTTCTCTCTCTCTCGCTCTCTATATCTTTCACATTTTGTATTTATCTCCCTATCCCTATCTCACCCCCCTCCTCCTCCGCCCCTCCATCTCCTTTCCCTGTTGTTCCCCTTTTGCCTCCCCCCCCCCAATCTCCTCCATGCACACTATCTATTATTTCCCCCGTCTCTCCTCTATATTCATCCTTCTCTCTCACTGGCTTCTCCCATCCCCCTCTCTCTCTCCCTCTCTCACACACGCCTCACTTCGTTTCTTGCATGTGTTATTCTGTCTCCATAGGTTTACAATTGGAACAAAGAGTTAGGAAGGTTCAACGACTTGCTACTACTCCGAATTACTATAGGGCTCTGGTTCCCAACCTCGAGGCACTAATAAAGGGAATAATATCCTCACCTGTTGAAGCAACCATTTGCTGATTTTAAAGCGTTAAATCCACATTCAGCACATTTCATGATGATATTATAACATGTTGCCCAATAAGAAAACCCTGCACATTCATGTTGTTCAAGGAATGAACAAAATATTGTCGTACAGCCATGTTAATAGTGTATTTTATACTTGGACAGCTCAAACGAAAGTGAAATAACACGAAATAGAAAGATTGATGTATTTCATCTTGCCCAATCCACTTTTTACACTCTTCGCAATGTAAAGCAAATTAATTGCAGTAGTGGCATTTTAAGTATCTTTTTATAAATAACTTTTTACTTTTTTTCATTTAGTAGATATCTATTCTCAGCATTTCAATTTCGGACATCATTGCCAAATCAAAAGAAAAGCCCTGTATATACTTTCAGAATTTCCTTTGTCGTATCTTTTTTTTCTCCATTAAGTGATAATATCTACAATTTCATGATGCAAAGATGAGTAAAGAGATCACAGTTCTGTGGAAAATACTTTTGATATAAATTGCCTACTCAGCATCAATAAAATGAAAAAGAAAGAGATTACATATTCAACTACAATGGAAAGCTAAAAAGGTACTTCAGAAACTGAGATGGAATAATGTGTGAAATTAAACACTTTGGTCATGATACCACTTACAAATAGAAATTCCATCATTGAAATTTCTTCAGGAGCTGGCATGTATGGAATCAGACATATTAAATTACACATGCGAGGAGTCGATATAGAGAAAAGGACATTTTTAGCATAGGAGAAGATTTATATGAAACATACATTGCATCGCTAGACACGCGAATGTTTCCTATGTCAACACATCGTGCCTCCCCCCTGCTACGATCTTTTTTCCTTCAGTACTTCGCAGGTCCTTAAAGTTTAAACTTATGGCACGTTCCAGGTTAGTAAGAAGTGTAGAATGAATAAATTTATGTATTTGAAATGAAACAAATTTAAGACATAAATTGCAGAAGGAAGATTTGTTGTTATTCTATGATAAAAGTTATAAATAGGCTATGAAAGAAAACAAAAACATGGTTCAGCCTAATCAGAAGGGCAAATAGCCAAAGTTTATCAAGGAATATCGTATGAAGACGGGATAGACCAAGGAAATTTATCATACTTTATAGAGACTCGACCAAAGACCATGCAATCAATGTATTGGTAGCATCGCTGTGATGCTTGGGGACCAGTGTATCAAATTTCACATAAAGTTATGTCGCCCTCTTTGCTGACTGACAGTGTAGTTTTTTTTATTTTGACCCATCGATGCTTCTCATTAATGCTTTACGAATGAATTACCATTCGTACCAATTACCAATTAGAATTGTCATTTGTCACCTAATTTGAACTATCTTTCGTTTGCTGGTCTTGTATCAAAATAATAGTGGTATAAAAAGGTCAGAATGATGCTTTCTTTAGTCGAACGACTGATATTTTTAAAATAAATTCTTAATCACGTGAAAACAATTATCCTGTAATAAATAGGGAAATATTTTAATGATATATAGTATAGGACTCATATGGGTAAGTGCAATGCTTATTTATAAGGACAGAAAATATTTAGTTTGATTAATGACTGTGTTGATAATGATGTTTTCCAACATTTTATGATGCACGAAGAGCTCCAACTTGACATGATACATCTATTTGAAATTTTTGTTAAAGTGAAAGTGACTTTTTTTTTTTTTTTTTTTCATCTGTCTTATTTTGAGTTGTTTCGCTTGTCTGGTTTTCATCTTTAGCTCTCCTATGTATTTGGTAAGGTATTTCCCGACTGGATTGTATATACATATGCCAATCACTGGACATATCTGGTAGGGGATACTGTTACTAAGAGCACGGGGGACACATGATTTAACGCCATCACCAACGAGTTAAAACGTTATAAACAACCATGAAATGTGTTGATCTGTCGCGAGGAAGAGAGAGGAGAGAGAGAGAGAGAGAGAGAGAGAGAGAGAGAGAGAGAGAGAGAGAGAGAGAGAGAGAGAGAGAAGGAGAGAGAATAAAAGATGTGAGAAAGGGGCAAAGAGAAATGGAGGGACAGAATTCATTTCAATTCATTTATTTTTTCGTCTTTTAATTTTTCATATTTATAATGATGGTACCTTTTTACGTATTCACATATTGATATACATATCGATCAATTTGCACAATACACTACATTGAAAAAACATGAAATTGAAAGAATTGGAAGAGAGAGAGGGAGAGAGAGAGAGAGAAAGAGAGAGAGAGGAAGAGAGCATTTAGCATAATGAACATTGAAAGTAAAATCTGAAGGAGAAAACGAGACCACCGTCTAAAATCATGAAAATGCGAAGTAGCATTTTGGATTCGATTCGACAAGTACATGTAAACAATATTGCGTTGTCATAAAACATTGTCTTCTTTACCATTAAAGGTGATGTTAGCCTGGTGTAACTTTAATAACAATATATGTGTTTTTTCATATTTTAAATAGCTGCTTTGACTTTATTGTATCGTGTTTATTCATAACAAAGGGTTTCCAAGTTACATGTAAATGATTTGTTGTTACTTCAATTGAAATAACACGAATTAAAAGTTTCACCATTCTCAAAATTCACATGATCTAGTTCATCCGTCATATCATGATTTTCATCTTCTGTTTGCTGTCAAAATTATGTATTGCAATTCTGTATTCATCCTAATGAAACTTTTTTTTATCAATATCAATTGGATACCTTAATTTTGTTACCTTAACCATTACAATGATGTTATATTTTATACTTTATAACTTTATTAGAACAATTAATTAAAAAAAAAAAGAAGTTTGGGACCTTCTTTCAAATTGTAAAAGGAGAATATACTTTTAATCACAACGCGTTATTCTTAATTTTATGAACACTTGTAGCCATTAATTTAATTTAAAAGCATCTTAAACACGACTAATGAAATTTGAAGAGAGAGAGAGAGAAGGGAGAGGGTGCAGCTTTAAAAAATGACGTATGGAAGATGCTGATGATGGGTTATTACCGTTGCCATCAGCAAACAGCTCTATAAATCTTCTCACAATACTCTCGATCACAGACAGTTCAAAAGAAGCGAAAGAAATACCTCACCTTACTCCACAATAATATATCTCCCCTG